AAGAAGTTGACTGAGTAAAGCAGAGTTTATAGAATAATCTTGTGTATGTTTCAGTGCTCAGACTTTATCTGACCAGCACAAATCCAACAAGTGTTATTATACCACAAAATAAAAGCAATGGAAATTACTGCTTCACAACATCGTCCTGTGTGTAAAAAACCTGAAATGGAGACTCTGATCTCTGATCTCTTACTCATGAACACAGATATCTCTTGAAACCACACATATTCATAAGCCATAATAAACACAAAAAATAAAAAAATAATAATATAATAAAAAATATAATATAATATAAATGACTAATCAGTGAATAAATCAATGAAATGTTTATTTTAAATGATCATATGATTAAATGGAATAATACAATGATTAAATGATTATAAATGAATGGGTATAAAAGAAAGAAAATAAATCAGCATAGATATATGATTGCTCTCTTGAAGTAACCCACACAAATTGCTATGAAGAATCCTCTAAACCCTCAAATTACAATACATGTCTTTAGAGGTTGTTTTCTCAATTATTATTTTTTTCTTATGCACTGAATTTTGAACCTGGCTTTATTTGATGTTTTAGATTTCTGTTCTTTTTTTTATTTATTAATAAATTCATGTAAATGCATGCACATTTAGTTAGGCAATGCCTCATTTGCATGTTTAAACAACATTTCAGAGAATTTGAAATATAAGACAAATGTCTTAATGTACTGTGATTAATCAACTGAGGAAGTATGGTGATTTTTTTAAATATAGTTTTTACCCAATTCACCTGTAGGCTTTTGCCTTTAAACTGATTTTACATCATTAGAGTCCAGGGAACAGGTAGAATTTCCTTACAAGGGTCGTCCTTTCAATACACGGCAATATTTGCTTCTCGCGTGTGAAACGTGGGTCAATCTCCATGCGTGAGGCCACCTGTAAAAAAGATCACATTTGGATGTGACAAGAAGCAAACTTGTTCATTTTAACTGAGCTATGAACTTGGGGTGATAAAATGAAAGAGATTGTTTTGACTTTTAGCAGGGATAAAGCAAAGGAATTGATATGGGTTTTCCTTCATATACACTCCTGAACAACTCCATAATGTCATATTTATGAGCGCTTGTGCCAAACACGTCCACTATGTAATTGATTAAATAACTTCCATTGTCTGGACTCCTGTATGCATAGACATCTGTGGAGATAATTCATTCTTAGGTCATACAATAAAGTACAAACAATCTTTGAAACTTTGCTCATTAAGGACGAAACATTGGCCATTTTAGATGATGTTTCATCACAAAGCTGAATGTTTTCATGGAGTGAAACTAATATATTTAACAAAATGGAAACAAAGTTGGGTAACGCTTTATTTTAAGGTGTCCTTGTTACATGTTACATGTACTTACTATTGTAATAACAATAAATTATGCATAATTACTTGCAAGTAACTCAAAGCAAAACCCTAATCATATAGTAGGTACATGTAGTTAATTAATATTACTCTGTACTTAAATTAATAATTACACTGTAACAAGGACACCTTAAACCCAAAGTTGTTTTAATTGCTTCTACCGGACCATTGAATATGACCAAATTGAACAGGTGCAAGCAGCAAATCTCATATCTGCAGTCAGTGTTTTTTTTTTCTCACCAGGAAGGGTGGACATAAAGCAAACAAAGTCTTTCTCCCTGTGAACCCAGGAGTCTGATTCAGGCACACTGTCACTGACGCACACACCTCCTTCATGCTCTGGACATAGAAATGGTTCATGTGTGACATTTTCACATAAAAGAATTTACAGTATTTCAGCATGCAAGGTGAAATAATTTAGGAAACAGAAATACAAAGAGAAATGAAAACAAGTCATGTCGTACCTCCTCTGCAGGCCTGAATGAGAATAACCTTTGGTTTATCAGTCAGAGCCGGACAATTGACTGAGTTAAAATGGGAGAAGATGTTCTCAACAAAGAAGTAATCATTGGAGTGTAGATATTTATGATAATGGACACCTAAAATGGCATCTTTATTTTTGATTCGTTTCCCATGAGACATAATAATCACAAAGGTGCTGTCCGAGTCTCGATGTTCATAACGTTTAGAGAAGTTCTTGACTGCTATATTTATTGCCTGTGAATAAATAAACAATATGTTTAGAAGAATTGCATGGTATAAAATATATAGTATATCTAGATATAAATGTGTTCACATTTCTGTTTCCACATTAGAAACCTATTAGCTCAACATAGACAAGATTGGTTTCACAAAGCCGGACTTTTGTCTTACGCACATCTCCAGAGAGATTTGTGTGTTTCTC